CAGCCCGAGCGGCGCAGCGAACGCAAACCCCGCTCTTCCGAAGCGACAGAGCCTGTGCAGGGGGAGAGCGGTAAAGCACCCGCCTTCCTGTGCTCCGGTTCAGCGTGATGTAGCTAACTGGAAGGAACCCGGTGACTAGGAAAGGTGTGTAATCACACCATAGCTTGTACGTGGACTCAGTTTTTCAGACACTGCTATTCAAAATTGACTTTCATGGCATAAACTACTTTTTTCCCCCTCAAATGTTCTCGGCTAATGAAAAATGGATTGTGCTGTAAAGAACGACCCTTTAAATATCACTTTGTGTAATGCTATATTAAAAGTAGATAAAAGAGATATCAAATGCTAAATGGATTTTCTGAAATGGCTGAAGTCCATTCGTTGGTGATTAGAAATCTGTTTACACCAAAAAATTCTCTCACAGGCAGAAAGTTTAAAGTAATTTTTTATTAGGATGCAGTCAGTGTTTTATATATGATAGCAGTAAGCATTAATTAGATCTTGCACAGATTTCAGGATGGCTTCAAGTACGAATTTAGGAACCTGGTATGTTCAGTCGTAAAGACACATTTCATTCCATGGGGAAAAGTGACATTAAGTCTATGCTACATTTTTGTGGAATTACTGTTTCCACAGAATCATTCAACAGACATCATGTTAGTAGTTATTAATTTATTCATCTACTTTCACTATGCTAGGAATACTGCCTTCAACTGTTAAAGAAGCAGCTGGCTTTTTTATACAAATAAACTGGGCTCTGAGACTGTCAATCTTCTTTGTTTGACAGAGAGGAGTTCCTGCCCACACTGAAAGAATAGCTCAACATCTGTCATCCCATTCTCTGCAATGGCCCAAAATCAGGAAGACTACATCTGTCCTCTTCCTTTCAGATACTTCTGGGAGACAGAGGTAGGAGGACTGTGTATTTGGTCAGCGTGTTCATCAAGCATTAAGCAACCTCTCTACAAGCCCTTTCATGTAATTGTATTGTTTTTCCACTGCTTGAACAGTAGAATTTGCAGTAGGTCTTTGGAATTTTGATCCTACTATGAGTTTTTTGGGTTTTTGTTGGTTTTACTTTAGTCTGCATTTGTTAATAAAACACATTTTATTTGTAATTAAAGTGTTTAGCAGTAATTTATACCTAGGCATGTGGTCCATGGCCATGTTAATTGCAGATATATACATGAATGAGCATAAAGCAGAAAATATTTATTCTTACAGGTTAGGAATTACACTACAGTGGTGAGTGATGGAGGAAGATGAAAATGAGCGATGTAATTTAGCTTATACTTTGCAAGCTCAAAAGTGGCGTCTTTTGACATAGCTGTGTGTGGAGGAGAGGAGAGAGGGAAAGGGTGGAGGAGGAAGAGAAGGGAATGGAAGAGGCTGGGAAGAATGTGTTATTATATAAAAGAAATGCTTAACCTCATTATCTCTGGTTTAATATCCAGCAAATTTGTCAAAAGAAAAAGAAACAAATGAATAAAAATATCAAACAAATAGAAAAAAAACTTTAATCCCTGAACTCAGAATAGAAATTAAAGTAATTTTTAAATTAATTGTAATGTCCTCTTCCAGTTGTAGACAAGCTAGTAGTGAATAGTGGAATGTGCACTCCTTTTCTTATCACAATTAAGAGCTACTGTGATGAACCTCTGAGTCCCATCCAGCAGCAGTTGTGTGAAGAAAACACCTCTGTGACCTACAATTTCAGCTTCGCAGTCCTAAGATTTGGGGAAAGCACGAAGTGCAAAATGCTCTGAGGGATTCAGGCATTGTGACATTCAGCTCTGCTGTCCAGGGGAATCCACCCTCTGAAGTCAGGCTGTCAGCTGCCTGTCACTGCCTGGTGGCAGGTAGGCTGTGGTGACATGGTGGTTCGGATGTGGCTTGCACCCATGCTGCCCCTGAGGGAGCAGCTCAGCAGCTCAGTCACTCTGTTACCTTCTGCTTTGATTCTTGGAGCTCTAACCTCTGTTTATCTGCTCTTCTAAAAAGAATGCAGAAAGGAGGCAGTTTCTTAGTAAGGCTGGTTCACTGATTCATTTAACATTCAATTGATTCATTAAACATTTTCTAAATAAAAATAAATTAATTACATTTTCCACAGAAATGCCAATCTAATCTCAAGGCATTTACTCATTTCAAGTCCTAGAATGAGACCTTACTATACTGTATCAGATTATACTTAAATGAGATTATAATGTGCCACCACCAATTGCAAATATGGTACTAAGTTTGCATAAAAAGATAAAAAATATTTCTATTATTATTATTATTTACAGATAGAAGAATGATCTTGGTTCCATAGCTGGACCAATCCAGAAAAGAATCCCACAGAAATAGGAAAACCTCCTGCACTACAGAAGAGAATAATGAAAAATGAGATCCTACTTTCCCTCCGGTCTCCCTGGTTCAGCCACTAAAATTCTACCTTCCATTTCCTCTGCTTCTTTTCATGTGCATACCAAACTTGTCTCTGCCCTGTGTGGACTGACATACTTGTCTTCATCTAGGCCCCCAGATTTTTGGAGACAGGAATTGATCTTGTTCCTCTTCAGGTCTCTGTTTCCATAGGGTTGGAATCTTAGAGATGAAGTGAAGATATCAGTCAAAAGGACAATAGCTTAAAGGAAGGAAAAGGACTTGCTAGACTGCCCAATATCTTCCTGCATGTGTCTGCTGGGGGAGACAACATATAACTGAATTGGTTGTTGGCCTTCTCTCATTGCTCAGAAAAGACAGTCGTGTCAGCTGTTGTATTCAGAAAGTAAACTAAGCCAGCCCTGGACTGGACATTTAATTTTCCAATAGAAATGTTCCAGTAAGTTTTCTCCAGATCACTGTGTATAGAAGTTTTCCTGTGCTTTGTCACTGAAGCAAGCAAACCGTTGCCAGTTCTGCATGGCCTTCTCATGAGATGATAGAGATTAAATATTTTGCATTTTCCTTCTGATTTATGAGTTTGGGGTGTACTCATTTTATGCTTTCTTTTTTGTGAAACAGTGCAGAATAGAAGTTATTTTTGTTGTGTGCATTTTTAATGAGAGCTGTGAATTTTGCAACAGCATTTTCTTCTGAGGTTTGTAGCTTGGAAAAAACACGAAATATAGTGACACAATAGAATTGCAAGAGTTATAAACATTGTAACTAGCCTTGGGGATGTTTTGACTGAGTCCCTCCTCCAAGTCTTTTCAAGGAAGCAGATCCTGAAAGTTAATAAGCTTAGGAAGATTTTAATGAGCACATAGACACTGAAGCAACTCAGAGAATTTGCCTTTGTCTTATGAAAAGGGATCACAATTAAACTCCTTATTACTTATGACGTGTAGTTTGTGCTTTGGATTGGCAACCTTCAAAGGTATGTTATTACAATTTGTTAAATTATGTGAAATAGGTAGAGAAAAATAAGCAGCCTTTAATGACCTGGCCAATACTGTTACTTTGTCAGATTCTAGAAAATCATTGTTGAGGTAAGGAACAACATTGCCATTTATTACATCAGAACGTGATAAAATAGCATTTACATTCTCATAATGACAGAATAAAAATAATGTAACAAAGAAAACACTTCCTAACATGGTTACCCTAATCTGCATACAAGTCAACAACATTCAAAAAACTGACACTTGGATGGTTTTGTGCATCCATTTCTGGCTTGGATTGCAGAGTGGCTTCTGAGACCCTTTAGCACCCATACTATCCCACAGCCTGTAGGAGCTATGCCATGAGCTGTCCTCTTGCTGTCTCTGGTCCCACTGAGAGCCTGACACACTGAGGACTGTAACACTCACCACTGGATTGCTCCAACCCTAATCCAATCCATTTTATTCTGTGCTAAAATGCAGACAGGAGTTGAGTCTAGGAACTGATTCAATCTCTCCACCCCTGTCTTTGCTTTATCAAGAAATGTTGCTGCTGAGGTGAGGTACCTCTCTCTCAGCTGAACAAGATGCTATTACCTCCAAGTTTAAGACTGTATTTTTTTTAACCACATAATTTATTTAATAATTATACTATGGTCTCTGCAGTGTGAAAACAGATCTCTTATAAAAAGAGGAGCCTTTGATTCCAAAGATTATTTGGGATCTAGACCTTTTAAGGAAAAGGAAAGCAAAAGTTGAGTGCCAACTGTGTTGTTAACCCTGCACTTTACAAAGAGAGTCTCTCCATGAAATAGTGAGCAGGCAGGGACCACCTTTAGGGACATGTGTCATGGGTGGTTGCACAGGTCACCACAACGCAGGGCCGCTATTCACACAGAGTGAGAATGTTGCAGTGTCATGCCTGTGCTGCTGATTCAGCTCCTTATCAGCTCCTGGCTTGGAGCTTTGATAGCTGATGTGACAAACCATAAATAATAGAGGGTCAAGCTGAGCAATGTTGTTCACTCTGACCTTCTAATACTTCTGGCTTATTAGATCAGTCATTAGCGTTTCAACAGGCTGCTGAGAAACAGAGTACAGTGGCTTTAGCTGCCAAATCCTCCCCTATTCACAGACAGCCTCTCTGTGTAGGTATTAAATGCATCCCAGGGAAAAAAGTCGTATGTTCCTTGAAAGGAAATCAATTTACAAAATAGGGTGAAAATTGCAGAATAGCCAAATATAGAATATGGCCATGTATAAAGAGAATCTATCAGCAAAAAGCCCCAACCTATTACCACCCCCTGGAGCCCCTCCAAACAATAACCTAAAAAGAAGCTCAATAGTTATCAGGGAAAATCCTTTTTTTTTTTTTTTAACCAAAGGGATATGAGTAATAGTGTAAGAAAAGAAGGCAATGAAGATGGTCAGAATCGGACAAGGAATAAATATACTGTCATTGTCCAACCTCTGCCTCCTCCAAAGTTCTGAAGTTGAGGAAGTTCAGTAGTTTCCATTTTAAGGCTCTGTATTTATAATGTTGTGAATTTTTCCATTAAAACTGTGAAATTTTCCATACCAGTGGTCTGCCAAATCTTAAAACTTTAAAATAGTTTAAAGAAAAAAATACTTCAAAATCTCATAAATTCCAAAATTAATTTTATAAGCAAGCGTATTTTAGCTAATTTTAAGAATTATCTTACAATTATTTTCTTGAATGCATCTAAATGGGCTTAAAAAAGGAAGATATAGCATCATAAGTGCTACACTAGAAGGAAAAAGACATGCCATTAGCACAAGCTTCTAAGATTTGCCTCAAGATTTTATGGCTGCTAAAGCAAACAGGGCTAGATGCCAGGTACACCCCTTACGTGGGTTTATATGGAGCTCCATGACCACCAATGCTGTTGCCCCTATGTTATCTTGCCTTATAGGAGGGGATGTTGTCAATCACAAGCTGACAGCCATGCCAAAGAGCCACCCTGAACAACAGTGTTGCTCTACACAGCAAAAATCCTGTTTAGTTTTAAAAAACAAAGGGTTAAAAAACTGTATACTAAAAATTAGTACCAAAAAACCTCTGAAGATTATGCATTCAACTGAGAGATTGGAAATGGACAGAATTAAGCTTTCCTTGCCAGCCCTAAGTGTCCTCTTTCATGCTGTGTATCAGTCTCAAAATGAGCAGTCTTTTTGTTTTTCGTTTTTCCTACAGCATTCACACTTTGTCAGGCACAGGGGTTTCCTGAGGTACTGTAACATAGAAGACTGTCATCTGCTCGAGTATCATGAAAAAATTGAGGAGCTGCCACAAATGAAACCAGAACAGGGAGACAGCAAGCTCTCTTCTGAACACAGCCCTATGTTATGATGGATAAAAGGATTCTTCTGTAACTGTAGCTCCAGAAGTGAACCCTCATCTGTCCTGATTTTGTCTCTTCTGTAGACTCATGTTCCCCATGTGATTCAAGTGAAAGTTTTATAGGTGGAATGCACTTTTGTATTCCTTATTTCCTGAGTGCACAACTTCATACACTCAGG